ATGTATTCATGTTTAAATATATTTATTATAAACTAGTCACAATATGTATCTTACGAAGTGTAGTTTATTTTATGATATAAAATTTTAAAGTCATAGATGCTGACTTACAAACAACAATAATTATGCATTAAATTTAACTTACTAGAAAAGAAAATATATATTTTATAGAGTTTTAATGTTAGATAAAGAATTGCTATTAAGATTCGATGATTAGGGTAATTAATCTTAAAAGTTTGTTTGTTTTTAAGTAGTTTTAAAGAGATTCTTAATGTAACTAATAAAATCTATTATTAAATCTGCTTAATCTTAGGACAATTTGGTCAGTAAATATTGCGTTTTAAAACTATTTCATTACTTTTCCTTATAACGGCTTCTTTAAATGCAATTAGATAGCTATATTAAAACGGAACGCTCTTAACTAAATCAATTTGGTTATCTTAAAGACTAACTGTACTTCTTGTTAGAAACAATAAAATTAAACTCATCCCCTATTTTTATGTGGCCCAAATACACCCCGCATTGTTTATCATATGAAACAGGGATGAATCTACAATGATTAGAAAAACTGAAAATAATATATTATTATTAATCTAAAAATACACAAAACACAAACGACTGATATGACACGGAGATTTTAAAGTTAGGTTTACATTAAAACCGAGCGGCATTTATCACAACCGCATTAAAACTAAACCGTTTAAATCACAAGAGAACCTTTCTTTTGTCTAGGGTATGTGCTTTTGGAACAGTATAAAGCTCAATTAAATAAAACCCTTTGATCTTAGCGTTTCCTTGTCCATTAACTAAACGGTTTTATTTAATTTCCGGCCATTTTACTTTCTCAAGATGGTGGAAGCCATGATAGATAAAAATATTTAGGCTTACATAAAAACGACAAGTTAACCACTAAACGTATAATTTCGATTTCTTTTAATAGAGAAAAATCTAAAATAATAGATAAAATTATTTTTCTTTCTAATTTATGTTTTTCAATTTTTAATTTTGTTTTTATGGATTATAAAACTTTAGAGATTTTAAGGCCCCTAACATTTATCGATAAAGTCCGGTGCGTAATATACAGGGTGGCTCACGCTCAACGGGACGGAGCTTTATGGGAAAACGACCAAAGATATAAAAAATTCGTTTGGGAGGAATACGTAAGTTACAGACGGCTACAATTTAAAATTTGTTAGATGTATACAGGATGTCCCACATAAGAAAAAAAAATTAGTTCATTAAAAATTATTCAAACAAGAGTAAACAATTAATTTCTGGGAGACTTGTTTTCCTTAAAAATTCAAATAAATCGAAAACTAATAATAATAGTAATAGGGAACCTTTAGTTAACTGACATTATTTTTGATGTAGTTTTTAATTCTAAAATAAAAAACAGGGTGTTCCATTAAAAATAATATAACTTTGTATATTTTCTCTTATGTGGGACATCCTGTATACATCTAACAAATTTTAAATTGTAGCCGTCTGTAACCTACGTATTCCTCCCAAACGAATTTTTTATATCTTTGGTCGTTTTCCCATAAAACTCCGTCCCGTTGAGCGTGAGCCACCCTGTATATTTCTACCCTGACATTTCGAAAAAAACTACCTTAATTTTTATTATTTTATAGTCCATAGTTAGAGCGTCACCATATTATTATCATCTTCAAACACAAATTGCTTTTATTTACTAAAAGAATTATGTATATAGTTTTAAAAACTATTTTCATATGTTAACAATAAGATAAATTGTCTTTAAAAGTATACATGTAACTAACATTACTAAGTCCACTTTAAAACCGCGTGTATTTAAAATGTATTTAAAGTGATTTTAAAAGGGTCTTCACAGCAGCTTTAAAATCACTTGTTTGAGGTAATATAGTTTTATAGTGGTTTTTATTTTTGGTTTTATTGCCCTCTTTCAGAGTGAGCCTTTTTATGCTGAAGACATATTTATTACAACCTTAAGGCTCCTTTTAAAACTAACTGGTTTTAATTGCAGTTTTATTTTAGTTTTAAAGCATCCTTGAAGTACTGAATAAAACCGTTCGGTGCTACTTGGGTATTTTGGATCCATTTATTGCCGATACTCAAATTCTCAAAATTTTGATTTATGCCACTTTATGATTAAAGTGGCGACATGTTATTGTAATTTATTTTTTATTCAAAACTATTAAATTTCTGGAAAAAAGCAAGAGACAAAAAGTTAACAAATAAAACAAGAATTCTGAATAATATTTTTAATTTATAAAATTTAAACCAACAAAAGAGTTGTATGATAAAATAAGATAAGCGTTATTTACCTTCTTTATAACATAATGATAATATAAAATTATCCCTAATTACCTGGAAAACCAAATTTTACTTACACATTTTCTACCGAGAAAATTTTGTTATCTTAATTTTCAACAATGAATTTTTTCGCATGAATTTAGAAACCCCTGTATTATAAAAAGTGAACTATAGGAGAAAATAATTCGGGTTTGGTATCGAAAATGAATATCTACCAATTGTTATAGTGAAAATTTGAATAAAAATACGATGAAATTCTCACATGTACAAGCAATTTCGAAAAGTAAATAAATAAAACAGTCATTAAACTTAAATCTTTTATAAAAATTATCAGATTTTAATTTGTTTGTTTAGTAAATATGAAATAACTAATTTGTTTTATTTTGGAATTTACCAGTAATTTATTATGTAAAATGATCGAGTCGTTATATATAAATAATATAAAAGATTATTTTGAAACAACAGCATGTAATAGTTGACAATTTTATGACATATTAAGTAGAATATTAAAAGATTATAAAACTGCAGTTTATCAACTATCTCTAACTGGTATTAGAATGTTTAAAATATTATAAGATTAATAGATATGCAATTAAAAAACGGAAACAACTTTAAAAACAGTGACTCAGTTTTTGTTTCAAAGGGGATTTCTTTCGATAATTCTGACTAGTGATGTTCTATAATCGTCAATGATTTAAAAAAAAAAAAGGATATTTTTCTGAAATTGTAGGAACTCGGTATTTAATTGAAAAGAAACAATTTAAATTGAATTAGTTAGTTGACTCAAGGAAAAAAAGAGATTGTGTAATAATCCGTTAAGGTCAATTTTATCATTATGTGGCAAAAAATGCATAAAAAAATTATTAATGTGTTAATTTGCCGTAATAATATATTTACTTGCATAGTTCTTGAATATGTATAACAATTATCGCGTTATTGATATCTACCTTCTAATATTATAAGACAGTAATTTTATAGTCTTTAAGCAAATGAACATTTTAGTTTAAGGTGTAAAATCTGTAATTTACTTTTTTAGTTTTCATTTACAAGGCCATTTAAACTGTCTAATAATAAATAACTTAAAGTTGGACCACAATTAATTTAAAAAAAGCATTTCCATTTTGGATGTTTCATGGAAACAAAAATAATTTAGAAATGGGAAGTGGGGATGTTTAACAAATAAAGAACTGAAGACTAAAGTCTAAAAAATCACTGGAATGAAAAAAAATATGTAGAATCGACGTTAAAATTTGTTACCAAAAGTTTCAGTTAATAAAACAAAATATCTATGTAATAGAAAAGGTAATATTTTTGTTTTAAATTTCCAATAATATATATATATCTATCTGTAAAAAGTCTTTACAAAAACATATAAATTAATAAAAGCAAAACCATTCAACATACCATTGCTTAATATTTACGTCCCTATGGAAAAAACCAAACCAGAAAAGAAAGAAGTTTTTTACGATAAAGCAGAAGAAAACAAATTAAAAATAGATGAAGAAAATTAATATAGAGCAAGTAGCAGCACAATCAAATATCGTAAGCTCTAGAAAATTCAAATATCTCAAAGTGAAAAATATACAACCAAATTTATCAAGTACTCATTACAAAAAATAAAATATGCATGGACATTTAGAGGGGCATCTGCAGATTCCGATCATTACATAGTCACTGTTATCTTAAAAAAAGTCAACTAGACAACGAAAAAGTTAAAGATAAATATGCAGATCTTCCTTAACAGGCTTTAAAAGAGGTGGAGGCCGAAACACCAAACAATAATACTTTGGAAAAGTATTCAAACATCATCCAAATCATAATAAATAATGCGTATCAGAAATCCTGTTCCCTAAAGCTGCTCCAACATGATCAGACGACTACCGCATGGTGGTGTCACGAGTTGGATCACCTCAGGAAGATGGCTAAGGAATTTCTTAAATGAGACAAGATCCACAAAACTCAAAGAGAACTGGGTACTTACAAATCTTACCTCAGAGAATACAAAAACAGAGAGATGCTTGGAGATCCTACTGCGAAGAAATCGAAGATTTCCCGCAGGTATCAAAGCTTCAAAAAGCTCTTTCTAGAGATCCACACCGTAATATTTGTGCGCTCATCAAAGGCATTAAAACTGACAACTTCGAAGATAGCATTAAACTTCTATCGTCAATACATTTCCCTGACTGGGTCATCACAGACGTGACCGACTGGGCAGAGGAAGAATACAACCCATCTGTCTACGATTGTAGACGTTGAAAAACATTAGATGGCCAATATCCAGCTTCTTCTCCATTTTAATCACCAGGATTTGACGGTATCTACCCTGCCCTACTTCAATGTGATCTGGAAGAACTCACATCACATCTGATAGGTATGTTTAGATCCTCGTTGGCTCTTAGGTATATTCCTCTTAATGAACCGATTCCAACAAACTGAATAATGTATGTATGCAAATATACAGGGTGTTTCATTAAAAAAAACAACACCGACTATGGCATACTTGCGTGAATCACCCTGTACATTTAAATTTATGTTTACATAACGCACAACTCAATTCAAAAGTTGACATGTCTCGGCATTTTTTATAATTTTCTAAAATAATGACATAAAGAATTTTATTCCATAAGTGGTTTCCACACTGTATAATTTAATAATTAAAAGAAAAAGAATAAAACTTTGGTGTTCATGAATAAAAAGTTCTGTCTTATTTTGTATAATTTAATTACATAAAATTTTATATAGATAAATAAAAGAACGTAACTAGGATACAATTTGTTTCGACTTAATAAAGCACCCTACTAAAAAAGCTTCACCTAATTAAAATTATAATATAATGTAAATATAAAAATAATGTCATTCCGACATATAAAATTGAATTGTGCCTGTTCATTTTTCCACTATTTTCGAACAGTGCGAAATTGCTCATAATATCAGGTACGTAATCGCCACATTTTGGTAAATCCTTAGGAACCGGTGCCATTTCATATTTTTCTCCTACTTGCAATATCATGGCCATTCCCAATGCCAAATGGACTTCTATGTGACAATGAAGCATCCAATAACCTAAAAAAATATATTAATAAATAATATTTTTCCTTATAAGTCTGATGACGGTTCTTGGGTCGAAACCAGTAAAATTTCTACACAATTACATTTTTACGCTATTTTTGAAAAAATGGAATCAAACATTTTTTCACTTACAAATGACGATTTTGTTGCGAATCAGATTTATGTTGTAATTTTTGTTATACCCTGTATTATTGTTTTTTAGTAGTTAACAAAAACAAAAAAAATATTATGACTTTATGATAGTGACTTTTACAAAAAAAATTGAGATTGTCATTGAAGAAATATTTTGACAAAAGATTTTTAGTCCTTTTATTGAAGCTTTTTCTACAGATTTGGGTACCCACGTACTATTATCAATTTCAAATCAGAATAGAAATATTTTATAGCAAAAAATTAAAAAGTTGATCTGCATCCCTTGTAATGAGCCACCGAAAAAAATAAATATTGGAATTGGCTGTAAAATTTAAATATTTTGGGTTGGTACTTTAGCCACTTCTACAAAATGACATTTATTACTTGTAATTGAAATGCGTTTGTTTCAAATTACAAAAATCATCACCGACAACTCCGAAATCGCCACCGAAGTCCCCAAAATCGTCACCGAAATCCCGAAATTACCACAAAGAATTTCGAGATTATGTTGAAAATTTTGCGATTTCATCCATGTTTTCAGGATTTTGATAATGAAATCGTGATTTTGTAATTTCGACATTTTAATAGATTTCAGTATTTCGATTATGATTTGGGTATTTCGGCCATGATCCCTGGATTTTGATGATTTCGGGATTTCGTCCTTGATTTCAGTGATAATTTTGAAATTCCGTTTGATGATTTCGAGTTTTCTGTAAATCCCGAAATTGCCACAAAATATTCCGGGATTATGCTGAAAATTCTGCTATTTCGTCCATGTTTTCGGGAATTTTAATGACGAATTCGAGATTTTTTAATTTCCAAATTTTAGTAGATTTCGGAATTTCGATTATGTTTTGGGGATTTCAGCCACGATCCATGGATTTCGATGATTTCGGGATTTCGAAGATGATTTTGTCCTTGATTTCCATAATTTTGAAATTTCCGGTAAATCTCAAAATTGCCACAAAGTATTTCAGCGACCAATGTGAGGCATTTTTGTTCTTGTAATTATATCAATAATAATAATAATATTTATAAAAACGAATTTAAACCAATTAAAATAGTAAAAAGATTATTTTAATTACAAACCTGGGCTTGTAGCGTGAAATCTCACTATGGTGTATCCTCCATCCGGTACAGTAACAGTGTCCTTCAATGGAGCATCGATGAGATTTCTGTAAATTTGACCGTTTGCGTCTTTAGTTTTGACTTCATCGACTGTAATACTTTTGGCTACCCTTTCCATGGCTACGACTCTAAAATGATAACCGTGCAGGTGTAGTGGATGATTTATATCGAAAGAGACACCTTCGTCCACGAACACTATTTCGACCACCGCGCCCAAAGGAATCTGAAAATTTACAATAATAAAACGTCTTTATTGTACAAAGAAAACAAAAGTGTACGTTGAAAAGGTGAAATTTAGTTAAAGCTAATGAAACTATTGTAACTGATAACAAACAATGTTCATAATGTAAAAAATATATTATATACGGCATCCTTACTTCAAAAGTGGCCAAATACCATAAGTAATAATTATAAAACAAATAAATTCTACTTCAATCATCAAAATTTTTAATTTAGCTTAGAAGAGATTCATCTAAATGCCGTCTGCTTCATTCTTGAAATTTTTAAATGCGGGACTGTTTACTTATTACATTTTTTATGGTATTAAATCAGAACATGTTAATTTTGAGTTGCGTCACTTTTTAAGTAAAGATGCGATGTGTGAATCTATGTGATGGTTAAAATACTGTTCCAACCAATATAGCTTCACCAAAGTCAAGTAACAGTTAGTGCTTCCTTTCTTTGCCTTATCAACAGACCGAGAGGAAGTAAATTCTCTTAAGACTTTCATGAGAAATGTCATACGACAACGTAAAAACAGTATTTTTAAATTCAGTGAGAATTAAAATGCTTAGTTCTCACTGGCATTAAAAATACTGTTTTCAAGTTGACGTATGACTTTTCTAATGAAAATCTTGAGAGAATTAAGTTCTTTTGAGTTTAAAAATATCCTTCCAGGAACTTTGAATGCAGATTTAGCAGAAAAGCGCGTTGAATAAAAGTGTTCACATTTTTTACCGATCTTTTATGCAGTTTTATATAACGATTGTAAATAGTGCAAATAAAATTGTAAACCACTTTTTTAATGTTTGATTTCCAAACAAATACCAGTTTCTTGAGTGGCAAATAAATCTAAGTGGTATCTCTACACCAACTAACAAATGTAGTTCATTTCTTATGTGTCACTTGGATTCCTTTACATATAATTGTCTTGTGACCTGTACAGTAGCAGATAAAATGGCAAAGCAATCTTGTGTTTGTAAATTAAAACTTTAAATAAGTAAATCCTACTCTTAAGGTAAAAAAAGTTATTGGTACATTAATGTCTTTCTATTTAGATTGTTATTAAAACTTTAACAAGGGTCCAAAATAACTAGAATTACTGATCACATTCAATGTAGAGTAGTGTGAATGTGGACATTGACTCACCTTTATTCCATGAAGGCATTTGCACTGAACGGTTCTGCAATCTTCTTCTTGCATAGTTTCATTATTACAAAAAATGTCTTCTGTTAATTCATCTCTTTGAGGTAACAAGGCAACTTTAGGCATCGACAACGATATACGATTGAATTGTGGAATGAATAATCTCTTTTTATGGCTTTTAACTAAAAAAATTCAATAAAGATATAATAAATATCGTTGTTTGTATAAAGGAATAATTTTTCAATCTCGTGAGTAAGAGCGATACTGTAAAAACAGAAATGAATATATAACAGGAAGTGCTAATTCCGATTCTGTGGTGAAATTTGTAAACCTTAATTTACTGCTTTGCTACAAAATTATAAGCGGCGCTACTTTAAATTAAATCTAGTAAGTATAGTTTACAGGTGGAAAACATAGTTTGCAAACCAAAGACTGCAAACATTACATACAGAGTTTAACAAAAAGATGTGCATTATAATTAACCTTAGTTTCTGTAATCGAGAATAAATCCATTTAGGCTAATTTACCTATTTATATTTCCCACTGGTAATGTAATACTATATTAGTTTAATTTAGTCTTATTTTCAAAAATTGAGAAATTTTACAATGTAATACCCATGTTTTTTAAATTGTGTTATACATATAATAAAATTAGTCGGCATTTTATAATGTTTAAAAAGTAAGATTTATCACAGATGATCTATACTTATAAATCTTTCCTTTGAAAGATATACTATTCCGATTTTTTATTTTTTAAATAACACAGGATTAGTACAATCATATACAATAAAACGAGTTCGAAATACTTTAATCTATATTGCACCTATTTTTTTAATTTGTGCGATATGACCATGACTTTGTAGTATTTTTTTACAAAATATTCCGTAATGATGTTCCAATATGTTAATGGAATGTTCCACCAACCATTTAAAGGATGTTCCAATATGTTAATGGGATGTTTCACCAACCATTTAAAGGATGGTTTTCTGATAAAAATTTTAATTTTATTTTAAATAACAGACGAAAATGTGTTTAAAACGTCAAGAGAAATTATTTAATGTATAAAAAAACTACAAGAGTGAAAAAAGTTTCTAAATTGCGTGTAATACTGTTCGCTAATATCTACCCTTCAGAAATATAATAATAATAATAATACTCTCCCTAATTCACCCCCTTACGAGTGAATTTTAACCCCAAAAGCTGAGCTTGTTCGGGGAAAGGGACGGCTATTATTATTATTTGCCGTGGCGCTACGGGGCGACTTAAAGATGATTGATGGTGCCATTTGACTTACAGGTGAGGAAAACCCAGAAAACCTCACCCACCATCATCAACTAAAACTTGAGATCCTCATCACAGAATAGGATTCGAATAACAATAAAGTAAACATGACTCACCATTGACACTTTTGGAAAAAGGCTGCGGCTCGAATTCATTGTTGCCTATGTTGTTTAGATCGAAACTGACGTAATATTGAAAATCGGGTATCACTCTGAGACTTTCGTCCCATCCTTCAGCCGACTGCATTCTAGTTAGCGGTACAACGGATTCATCGCTTTCTATGCCTTTATTCAATGGATTCACTTGCTACAATTAAAAAATAAAATATTTTACTAATTAAAAATTAGTTTTTAATACGTCGGAAACGTGCGGAGTAATAATTAACTCATAGCTTACCTGAAACCAGCGTTTTGAAATAATAAAACAAAAAAGGGAAGATAATAATTAAAGATGGTGGGTAGAAGCTCATTTTAAAACATGCAGATAATAATCAACCATAAAGACAAAACCATGCATTTAAAAATATTTATCATTTACTTACTATATAAACGCCCACCCTTGAGTGCCTCGATACGTTTGTCATACTATTAGAAACAGTGCAACTCATAGGAAAATTTATTTAATCATAGTACTTATTTATATTTTTAAAATACCCAGACAAAAATGTCAATAATTAAACAATATTTTATTAAATGCATGTGAAATGTTAAGGATAGCAATAATAACATACTGGAGTTATATTGCTTAAAACTGACAATGATAGACGTTAAAAAAATCGATTTACAAAACTAGTAGTACGAAAATGTTATAAAACTCAAAGATTACTGCAAAAACATCTAAATAAAATCGTCGAATATGAATAATAACCAGAAAACAATGTATGTAAAACAATTATTTATCTATTTCTTGCGGATTAGTCCTAATATAGACGAAACTTGTCCAATAAAAAACATTTTCTTTAATAAGCAAAATCAAATAAGAGTATTATTTTCTTTCTCTGCTACTTATTGTGGTAGTAGCCAAATGAGTAGTTGTTTAAACTAGCTATTACCCGCAATTTTGCACGCCTGGATTAGTGTTTTTAATACAAAAAAAAATGTAACGACTGTTCAAAAGCATGTTTTTTGGGTTACAGACAAATCCAACGGACTAGTCTGAAAAGTTGACTAGTCCAAACACACTTTTCAAAAGTGGAAAAGTGTATTGCACATGCGATAAATTAAATTAATTAATTTGTCTGAATTTCTTACAATTAGAGATTAAATATAGTCTAATAAAGAAGAAACGATAAATGATTACTGAGTTTTATATGTTTTAACGAATTTTCGTCTTATTAAAACAAAGACGTGAAAAAATTACCAAAAAATCAAAAAGTTACAAATGATTTGCCTAAAAAAGCGAAAATATAAATGCAAATATTGTTCCTAAAGTGTTTAAAAAAAAAACAGGATGGTCTTGTAATGAACTAAAAAATTCATTCCTATTTTTAATTAACTGGGTCAACCCTTGTTCTTAAAGTTCCCCGATTTTTAAATTATTATTTTCCGAAATTCCCGCGATTCGCAAATAATTATCGATTTTATGTTAAATCTCATGTTGCTGTGAACCTATCGTGTCTCCACTACTGTCCTCGAGCATTTGAAATCGACGTGAAGGTCGGCAGAAGGTGAGTCAAGAGTTAGTCAAAAATCGCTGAGATTCATTCAATATTAGCTGTTGGCCGCCAATAGTTGATTTCAAAGATAGACAGTCCGAGCTCCAATCATGTTTTAATTCCGATCAATTTCAAAATCACTTGCTTTCCGTTGTATACTTTTCCGATAGGTAATTAGATTATTCCTGTAATTTTTATTCGGTCATATGTTCCGAAAACAGTGTAAAACCAGCAGGAATCTGTTAAATTCCCGAGTTGTTTATATTTTCTTTTTTATTCATTTTTTTATTTGCAACCTTATTTTGGAAGCAAATCCGGATTTTGTTTGCTAATTTTACAATAACGTTGAAAGCTGTATAAAATAATTTAGTTTCAATTAAATATTAGCTCGGTTTCTTTTTAACAAATAGAATTTGATTTGTTTTAAGAAACAGTAATATTGAGTATACCGTTAAATTTAAACTTGTAAATATTGGTTTTGAAAAAAATAATTTAGTTTCCGAAAATTTTGTAAATATTAGTTTGAAAATATTTATACCGGGTGGGTGATTAACTTAGAAGTGGTTTGAACTTCTCCGAATATTTTATATAAAATTAATTGGACCGGGTTGCCAAGAAATTAATCAATCGTAATTTCAAAGATAATTTTTAAATTCTTTCGAATGGAGTAACATGAATTTCTTACACATTCATTAATTACCTAATTGAATTGATTGCCGTTTCTTCCCTTTTCCGTTAGGCCGTATTAGGGTTTTTAAGCATTTATTTTGTAAATTCTATTATAAAATTCCGTGAACTAGAGTATCGTCTGATTTGCTATTGAAGACAGTGACTCCTGCAGTGGAATAAGCTAATTTGCTATCCAACTCAGATATGATCCGGTGTTGCTATTGAACAGAAGTGAAGCTTAACTACCCTCACTACCGTTTAGTACAAGTCTGCAACTCTCTTGTAAATTCCTTTAGCTCTGCGATTAAAGTTGTTTTGGTTTATTTTATTCTGATCCCTGGCCCCACCGTTAGTTAGATTTTTAGTAAATTCCCGACCAGTTTACTGGACTCTAAATTGTAAGTCGATGTATAGTGATTATGCCGCATGGTAGAATGGGCTGATTCGGCTTCGCTCCCAGAGTCTGGTTTAATACGAGGTTACATAGCCTGGAGCGTCATCCTCAGGGGTTGTGTCGCCAAGATATTAATCTTGTAGTCCGTTAGGTTGTAGCTAATCTTGCAATTTCTTTGTTACCCATTACTTCCGCTCTCGTCCACTTCCCGCAGTGTCTCTGTACTTCCCGCTTTAGAGATAAGCGCCTAGTCAAAAGCTCTAAGGCGATTAGAGAAGAAATTCATGAGATTTCGAAAGTTTACCGCGCCGAAGAAGTAGACTTGCTACAACGCCGCGTAGTACCGTTTTATTCAAAGACGCCTGCATTTGTCCGATTGTTTTATTTACTAACAGCCGTTACGTTTTTTTTTTGTTTATATTCATTTTTGTTCAGGGTTTGAACCAAATAACTTGGAGAGGGCTTGTAAATACTTTTTTTAGCTTCACCGCATATCACCGAAAAGTTGTAAATTCTGAACAATATATGTGTCAAATTGAAATCTGGCATTTCATTCCCTTATAGTAAGACTCTCTTTCAAGTACACGTAACTACTGAAATATCGTCGACATTTTGGAATTTTCTCTCTTCACTGCAGCTACCTGCAGGCCTTCTTGGAAATAGTTCCAATAAGTAAAGTGGAACAAACCACTCTAAAACAAATAGGCGCCCGAGCATATCCAGTTCGAACGTCACAAGTGAGAGTATTTCTAACCAGTTGAGAAAACCTGTCACAGTATTTTAACTATGTGTCTTCTATATCCAAGATCGACTACTTTTCATTGTGACTTTTTACTACTTCATCGACATGTCCGTCGAACTAGTTCAAAAAATACTTTTCAGAAAAAGTACCATCATTATTTGATAGTATTACATATTTGGTTTAAGAAGAGTAATCTAATATTTAGGAATAGTAAGCTAATTAAGTATCCCTTTGTATAAGGAGCGGCTACTCTTTAAGGCCTAATTAAAAATATTATTTGTTAATTTTATAATTTTTCCTATCGTCTCGACGCATACTATGAGTATTATTTATAATGTCCTCTGCAAATCCTCCCTAATTATAATTCATGAGTTCTTTGACTGGACTATCGACGGCCGCAGTTATATAGGCCCGCTTTACCATGGAAACGGAGTAATGCACACGCTAACATGTACGTCTTGCAATCGGCTGTTTTAACGTAGCCTCCGGTAGAAATTAGACATAATGAGCTTTTTTTTTAAATTATACAAGGTAATCCAAAAAATATAAAAATCGTAATACATATTCAATGAAACAGGCACAGTATGAGATATTAAAAAGAAAGGATGTCGGGTACAATTATGATTAGCTCTCTAGTGTTTAAAATTAATGTAAGAAAAAAATACTTACGATTCCTTCATTGTGAGCATTAAAATAGTTAATGGTCCCATCTGGATAACTATTCGACGGTACATGCAATCCGTTATATTCTAATACTGCTACTTGAAATGCTTTCTTATCGCTACAATTTATAAGACCTTTAAATTTGATCCAATAAAGATCTTTGGGCTTAGTAGCGTGTAGAACAAAATCGAATCGTTCTCCTGCATATGAAATAAGTGATGTGGCTAAAAAAAAACATTTAAGATTGTTTTGAAACCAGTATAGCCAGAAGTTGAGTCGTCGATATTCACTTTAATTGCATATCCGATTCATTATCGATATTCTGAATTGTTACCACAAACGGAAATTCTGTTATATTTCGGTATTCCAGGTAGAGGTGGGCAAAATAATCGATTAATTGATTATCTTTAAGTCTATTTTTTTTTAACGTTATGAACTCTCAAAATTTAAAATAGATTTATGGAAAAAATATCGCATAAGAATTCAAGTGTGAAGGTGAAGTTAAAAGGAAAATAAAAAGCTTGTTAACATCGTATCGTCATGAAATGCGACGTGAAGGGCCAGTGCGTTCCGAAATAGACACCCAGGATGTGCATTACTCAAAACAGTTTGTGTTTAAAGCCATTTTGCACCAAACTGATCACGCGACCGAACCTTTCCAAACGCTGTCGAACCCAAATCAAATTTTTGGTGTGAACGTGCGCATTCCAATCGCTTCCAACGCCAAATCCCAACGGGCAAGATGCTTGGGTTGGGATGCTCGGCGTTGAAATCTGGTCTGTACGCGGCTTTTAAATAGGAAAATAATGTTTGTGACAACCAATTCGTTCTAAAATGCTGAATATCATTTTTAATAATAACCGCACGCCTATGACTCGTCGATTTCCTTTCCCCGCAGACTCGCAAAGGTTTATGTTAAAAATGTGAGTCACTCTCTACAATTGCGGTATTTGACTGTAGTCGTGACATTTTATGAATAAACTTATGATTTTGTGCTTCTGTTCGATTTTTTATTTTATTATTTAATTTCCATACCTTGTATTGGTTTTATGTCGACTCCATCCGAACTAATTACGGTAATCATGTGGTTGTCTATTGTCATTTCGATTGGACAGTTCAATGATCCAGAGTTAATCAGCCTAAATCTGTAACTGTAACCCTAAAAAATGTTTGTTTTGAATTTGACAACTTGCCAAAAAGAAATTATTACTGACGTTTTAGTCCATTTTGACTTCCTATTTAACTAGTACAGTCTCAGACAGCCACATTCATTTTTTTTTTATTTTGCAATACAAATTTAAAAAATATTGCAATACTTTACCTTTTCTACTCTAAACCTGGCGGCTGGCACGGAAATAGTTTCACCTCCTTTGTAAAATTGTTTGAATCTGCCCAATCCGTTGACCAACAAACTCGGTGGCGAGGCTGTACCTCCAGCGTAAAGGTGTTCGAGCAACATGTCACCACCCACTATCCAATCCCATTCGTGAACAACCATGACATGTGCAGGCAGATCGTAATCGTATAGTTGTCTATGAAAATCATCTTCTTTTGGTACACGAACGATTAGTGGCCCAAATACACCGTCCACTCTTTGCATTCCTATTAAAAACTATGAGTTAAAGGCCTCTAACCGTAGATAAAATGTTTATAAACAATTTGTTCGAAAAAATATTAACTTTAATTTGCTGAATGATGGCCCTAAAGTTTCTGTAGAATATTTATGACGATATTCTGCCCCTGTTGAGATACTCTCAACACTTCATCTTATGCCCACCCTATACAATTAATTCACAACATTAAAATACAATAAACTATTACGTCACCCTCTTATTATGATATATAAGCGTCACTTCATAACCAATAAAATATGTCCCACTCATCAAGTAACCTCACTGCGCGAGAAAATGATTGGTCAGTCAGTTAAAAAGAGAAATTGCTACATTTTTCACCGGTAAAACGTAAGAGCTTTTACATACCTTCCTTCTAAGTAATAAATAGATCTTGTCTTAAAAACTTACCAATATGAGAGTGCCAAAAATGAGTTCCCGCTTGCGAAGCATTAAAAGTATACCTAAACGAATTACAAGGTTGAATCGGACATTGAGTAATATACGGAACACCATCCATGTAAGGAGAATCCTTTTGAGGTTGCCCGTGCCAATGTATCGTCGTAGGTTCACTATACATGTTGTTCTTAACGTCTACCATTATTATATCGTTTTTACAGACCTAAAATTGAATAAAAAAAACGTCACAAAATGGTATCTACAAACTAATGAATATAAAAAAACAAGGATTCGCATGCAGTATGTTAGAAAAGAGTTCAAGAAATTGATTACTAATTATTAACAGAAATACATGGAAATCTAGTGTAAGGAACCAGAAAAACACCTCAATCATTCAGTGGTACAGTAATGGTTCTAAAACGATAGAAATATTTGCAATATCATTCTGCGTCAATAAATATTCATGTAGCTTCTCGAAATTGGACAATAAATATATCTAGTTCAACGGGAAGAAGATTATCATCATGTGATTGCCAAGCGGCCATGAGAGCGCTGAGCTCTAATGGAATCAGCTCAAAGATTGTCTGGAAATGTATGTAAAAGCTGAATAAGTTACCCTTATATTAGTACTGGGACAAGCAATAGCACGAAACTGTAACGATATAGTAGGTAGTGTAACAATAAAAATAGTCTAAGAACCTTTTATAAGATCAGATCCCCTTCTGACGAATGAACAGTACGATATGCAATGTGAAAAGAGTTGAGCAGTAAGCTTTTCTGAAAATTGAAAGACACTTCTGAATTCTAAGTGACTATAATCGAATGCCTCTTGTATACCTGAGCAGGTCTTGTCGACTTTATTTATAAAAATCAGATTCTATAAGGAGATTCTTTCAGATTCAGTAACTTTACAGAAAAGATCCAAACTGTAAATATACGTTTACCTCTATGGATGGTCCTGGTAACTTCTTATTAACAACAACAATAGCTCTTTTCATGCCATCTCCTGGAACGCAGTCTTTTAGAAAACAGTCTTTTACGTTGTAAGGGCAGTTGCGACACGCTGGTGTCAGAGTTCTGTACCAATCTACTTCAAAATCGTACTGGCACAACATTGGAGGTTCGTTTAGTTCGCACATTCTTTTGCACGGGTGTATTTTAGAAAGATCATCGTTTCTCAGAGCTGCTTCTATTACAAAAAACAATTAATAATATTAATAATAATATTAATATTATTATTACTACTAATATTATTATAGTATAGAAACACAATGGTATTTAATAAACAGAAATAGAATAATACGTCGTCGACGCCGCGTAGTTAAACCAATTATTCTCTTTAAATCTCTCACGATCAAATATAACTAAGAATATAATCTTTATTTTGCTTGATGCGTCGGTTAACGTATTGAAAGGTATATTGTATAGTAATTATGAGAGTTTTGCTTTTGCTATTAAATTTCATCAATCACAATGAAAATCTGTACATGAAGAGTTACAGCAGTGGTTTTTTATATTTTTTTTTACTATACAGTATGGTTCAAATGAAAGGGATAAATTCATTATAATGGAAGTAGTTGGTTTTTCGAAAAAATGCTCGAACAGGTCAATTTTGTTTACTTAAAGCGCAATTTTTTAAATAAAATTCAATTTTCCCCCACTTCCCATTTTTGGGCAGTGACGTCATTGACAATTTTTTTAAATAGCAACCCCAATTTTTTTTTTCTTGATTTTGATAGATCTTGCAATTTCCTACTTGGAAACGTAATATTTGAAATATCTGACATAACAATTTTTTTTGAAAAAAAGTCATTTCAAGATCAGATAGATACATAAATTTTATGTTATTTTGAAACACAATAAATTAATAAAAGATAATTATTTGTAATTAAGTGCTTAATTTAAAAAAATAATAATAATAATAATAATAATAATAATAAAACGAATTTAATGACAATTTCACAAATTCTTTTTAGTATTATTTTTTTTATTATTATTTTGTTAGATTAAGCATTTAATTACAAATAATTATCTGTTATTAATTTATTGTGTTTCAAAATAACATAAAATTTATGTATCTGATCTTGAAATGACTTTTTTTCAAAAAAAAATTGTTATGTCAGATATTTCAAATATTATGTTTCCGAGTAGGAAATTGCAAGATCTATCTATCAAAATCAAGAAAAAAAAATTGGGGTTGCTATTTAAAAAAATTGTCAATGACGTCACTGCCCAAAAATGGGAAGTGGGGGAAAATTGAATTTTATTTAAAAAATTGCGCTTTAAGTAAACAAAATTGACCTGTCCGAGCATTTTTTCGAAAAACCAGCTATTTCCATTATAATGAATTTATTCCTTTCATTTGAACCATACTGTATATGTTACGGTTAAAGTGTTTACTTGGCTAGTTCATAGACTAGCTGGATAATATACAAACTATCCAAATGGCTGGCTGTTTTGATTAAAAATTATATATCTACTAAAATAGTTATGAAGACTTATCAAGACTTATTTACAAATTGTTAAATGTTTTTACTTACCATTTAGTTTCCTGCTTTGTACACTTTGTGCGCAAGAATCTTTTTGTGTTAGGACGTAACACGCCGAGATGAGAATAATTAAGGGATCCAGCGTACTCCATCTGAAAAATAAAGTGATATCATAAAATTATAATCTTAGCTGGGCTCACTTCAAAAGTGAAAGTATGTGATTTCTATGGAGTATGAGATTCGATTTATATGGTTTTATCATAGTTTCGATTTAAATGTTTCTTAGGTATAACACCAATCAATGTAGAGTATTTTTCAAGTATAAGAGACACTTTTCCAGATACTTCTTTTGGTGTTTTTACAAAAGCAGTAATGCTATTGTCCTCTGCATACATGACCAGTATTCTTTCTATTAGAAACTCTTCTAATGCTGCTTTTGAATATCCACATCGGATATATCTGAAATGTTGTAAATCTTTGATCACGTGATTCAATATAAATAACTGTAGTGTCCACTGTGGATAAACAAAAGCTCAAGATGTAAAAAATGCATCGGATGTTGATATTCAAACGCAGTATAAGTCGTTTACAAACAATAAGAATATCAGTGTATTAGAATCTCTGAAAAATGCCTAACCGATAATTATTATTTTAAGTTAGTACTATACAATAACGTATGACAGTTGGCAATTGTTATTGACTGTTTTGTGTGAATCCCACTATCAAGTTGTGTTGCTAATACAATAAAACTTAAATTTTAAAGTAAATCCTTATTTATTTAAATAATCCTGACTGGATAATTGGTTTGTGTGTCTCCAATATCAACCCTCGACCAAATTGATTACAAGTGGGCCAAGAACGTTTTCTTGGGGAGTACCCTGGTCTACGTTAAATATCTGATTTGCTATATTGGACTCTTACTAGGATTCCCAAAACATGACGATTTGTCTTAAGTATATTTTAGGAGGCTAAAACAGAGGTTTAAAACTATTTACACAACTTATCTTTCATTGAATGGATTTTAGTGAAATTTTGGCAGCTTATAGTAAAATGTTTAATGATTGCCATGAGAGATTTTCGTTCGTCCTGCTAATTATTAAATACTATTAAAAAATATAAAAAAGTGATAGTCACAGATGCAGTTCAAAAAACTTTACAGCATTCTACATATTTTTTTGGATATTCTTGCCAAATTTTAATAATCAGTTTTTACTTTAGTGCCCTTATTTTCTATATGTAAACTTTCAAAATTATCGCTAAAAGAGTGGTTTTCAGTCAAAATATAATTCGCAAATGTAAAGTTATTATGATGTTCAGATGACACCTAGGATGGCGCTTTTTGAAAATACTGCCCGTTTGACCAATATACATAATATTTTGACAACTACCAAAATTAAATTTTTATACAATTAATTTTGCCTTTAGTTTTTATATGGTTCCCAAGTGTTTTGCACAATAAAATAGTTATATTAAAAATAAAAATTAGAATGTTTTTATATTCAGCCAATTTGTGTTTGCGTGTGTGTGAGTTTGTATGTTTGTCCGTCTGAGACTCTGACCAGTCTAACCGACTAAGGGTGAGATTACAGAACGTCTGCAACTTTGCAAATATGGCGGACTTACAAATGTAAGTATTCCAAAAAATATCTGCAAATTCGCAATATTTATTGTGGTTTATTACCCCCAACAACACTAAACCCAAATCCATTACTATGTTTAAAAACTCGATAATCTGACACCATGAACTGTATTCAATCAAAAGAAACAGAAGAGATCATGGTTGTAGGATGTTCTAACCTTCTTAAGGGTGGATTTGGATTTACTGTTGTTAGGGGTCATAAATATTGCGAATTTGCAGATATTTTTTGGATACTTGCATCTGTAAGTCCGCCATATTTGCATATCTGCAAAGTTGCCGCCATATTTGCAAAGTTGTATACGTTCTGTAATCCCACCCTTAGTATTTTTCTTCCGATTCTATAAGACGGAAACCATGTAATCACTTTTTCAAATTTCTAAATTAAAAATTTTCACTTTTATTTTACATTTTGAGCATTTTTAAGCATTTTCGGTTTCGTGTCTGTCTGTATGTTTGTGTGATGTCTGGTATCCCCGAAATTTTGCAACGCGCATAACAGCCACAATTTTCATCGGATTTTGATGAAAATTTCAGGGAATATTTGGGCTGGGTCCTGGATGGTCCCATACTAATTTCAGCGCTTCCAGATGTGCGGTGCGCACAGCGTATTTGGAATTTTTCCAAGTAAAAGTTACAAGCAAAATTAGATTATACGCGGTTACGAGGAAGCTGTATGTGCCACTACGTTTGGCAGTGGATTTTTACTTTCCTATCTGTATACAGATATAAGGAAAGTATAGTAATCATGATTTTTTTCGACCTCGAGTTTTCGACGGATTTTTACGTTTTAAGGTCCCCTGAATCCGTTTTGACTATTTTCGCGATGATGTCTGTGTGTGTGTGTGTGTGTGTGTGTGTGTGTGTGTGTGTGTGTGTGTGTGTGTGTGTGTGTGTGTGTGTGTGTGTGTGTGTGTGTGTGTGTGTGTGTGTGTGTGTGTGTGTGTGTGTGTGTGTGTGTGTGTGTGTGTGTGTGTGTGTGTGTGTGTGTGTGTGTGTGTGTGTGTGTGTGTGTGTGTGTGTGTGTGTGTGTGTGTGTGTGTGTGTGTGTGTGTGTGTGTGTGTGTGTGTGTGTGTGTGTGTGTGTGTGTGTGTGTGTGTGTGTGTGTGTGTGTGTGTGTGTGTGTGTGTGTGTGTGTGTGTGTGTGTGTGTGTGTGTGTGTGTGTGTGTGTGTGTGTGTGTGTGTGTGTGTGTGTGTGTGTGTGTGTGTGTGTGTGTGTGTGTGTGTGTGTGTGTGTGTGTGTGTGTGTGTGTGTGTGTGTGTGTGTGTGTGTGTGTGTGTGTGTGTGTGTGTGTGTGTGTGTGTGTGTGTGTGTGTGTGTGTGTGTGTGTGTGTGTGTGTGTGTGTGTGTGTGTGTGTGTGTGTGTGTGTGTGTGTGTGTGTGTGTGTGTGTGTGTGTGTGTGTGTGTGTGTGTGTGTGTGTGTGTGTGTGTGTGTGTGTGTGTGTGTGTGTGTGTGTGTGTGTGTGTGTGTGTGTGTGTGTGTGTGTGTGTGTGTGTGTGTGTGTGTGTGTGTGTGTGTGTGTGTGTGTGTGTGTGTGTGTGTGTGTGTGTGTGTGTGTGTGTGTGTGTGTGTGTGTGTGTGTGTGTGTGTGTGTGTGTGTGTGTGTGTGTGTGTGTGTGTGTGTGTGTGTGTGTGTGTGTGTGTGTGTGTGTGTGTGTGTGTGTGTGTGTGTGTGTGTGTGTGTGTGTGTGTGTGTGTGTGTGTGTGTGTGTGTGTGTGTGTGTGTGTGTGTGTGTGTGTGTGTGTGTGTGTGTGTGTGTGTGTGTGTGTGTGTGTGTGTGTGTGTGTGTGTGTGTGTGTGTGTGTGTGTGTGTGTGTGTGTGTGTGTGTGTGTGTGTGTGTGTGTGTGTGTGTGTGTGTGTGTGTCTGTGTGTCTGTGTGTGTGTGTGTGTCTGTATAACGCATAACTCATGAACCGATACACAGAAAAACACCAAATTTTAAACTTAAGCTTTGTTTCAGCGTCCAATGAGCTGATTAGATTTTGGGCAGAGTCGGAACATCTGGGGGGTACTTTATAGGTGGTCATTTTTATATTTTATGGAATATATCTGTTATTTACGTTTGGAGAAGAAAATTCTTCAAATAAAAGTTACTTCTAATATAATTATCTATAATTTTTGTTTTATGCAAAATTTTCCTAAAATGGTCCGTATTCGAGAAATTTGACAAAATGTAAAAAAATAATTTTTTATAAAAATTGTTCAAATAAAAGTTGTTTGTAACATAATTCTCTATAATTTTTATCCTATACCTAATTTCTCTAAAATGGACCGTATTCGAGATATTTGAGAAAATGTGTAAATTTTGAATTTTGAAGAAAACTCAAAAACGGATAAAGGAAAAAACATTATATTTTAAACTTAAGTTTTATTTCAACCTAAGGTGAACTGATTAGATTTTGGACAGAGTCGGAACATCTGGGGGGGTACTTTATGGGTGGTCATTTTTATATTTTATGGAATATATCTGTTATTTACGTTTGGAGAAGAAAATTTTTCAAATAAAAGTTACTTCTAATATAATTATCTATAATTTTTGTTTTATGCAAAATTTTCCTAAAATGGTCCGTATTCGAGAAATTTGACAAAATGTAAAAAAATAATTTTTTATAAAAATTGTTCAAATAAAAGTTGTTTGTAACATAATTCTCTATAATTTTTATTCTATACATAATTTCTCTAAAATGGACCGTATGAGATATTTGAGAAAATGTGTAAATTTTGAATTTTGAAGAAAACTCAAAAACGGATAGAGGAAAAAACATTATATTTTAAACTTAAGTTTTATTTCGACCTGAGGTGAAGTGATTAGATTTTGGACAGAGTTGGAACATTTGGGGGGGTACTTTATTGGTGGTCATTTTTATATTTTATGGAATATATTCGTTATTTAAAATATTATTATCTATAATTTTTGTTCTATGTCAAATTTTCCTGAAATGGTCCGTATTCGAGAAATTTGACAAAATGTGCAAAATTCTGATTTTTAAGAAAATTGTTAAACTAATTTCTATAATTTTTGTTTTTAAATGACTTTTCTAAAATGGACCGTAATGGAAAAATTGAGGAAAAGTGCTAAATTTAAATTTTTCAATATTTTCGTTTTCAATGAATATCTATAGAAAAATGTTTCGAGGTAGATGTATGTGGAAAATGTATATATTTAGTTTATCCTCTAAACATTTTTAGAGATGCTGCAATAGGTTAACTAGATAGGAAAGTCATGTGTTGGACACATCAGATTTTTTAGTTAGAATGCCATCGCAGCATTGCCAGCTGTACCCATTTAGTAATTTTTTTTAGTAAGAATCATTTTATATTTTCTTTCTAACTAAAAGAAAAAACTAGCCAATTTAGAATGCTTTTAAAATTGTTTACTTATTTTCCACTTTGTAGTGGAAAATCTTTTTTTTTTACTTTTATTTTTATTACAATTACCGATTATTTTTAGTTTTTCGTTTTTCGTTTTTTTTTTTTGTATTTGGTTCTTTCGATATTTATTTATTTCGATTTAATCGATACTTTATTAGTTGTTTTCTTTTATATTTTCGATATTTTTGTTTTAGATCACTTCCAATCACCCAAGAAAAAATTATTAAATTATTAGTATGACGGCCAAGAAGTATTTACCATTCAGTTTTTTTGAAGATCAAACTGTAATAGATTCGTACAAATATTTAAAAGAAGAGGTATCACTACCAAGTAGATATATTATGAAGTCAAGTATATTGAAAACTTTTGCGAAGGTACAGCAGAATGTTAAACAAGTTTTATTAGCAAATAAATCAAAAATCTCCTGTTCTATTGATGGCTGGTCATCTATTTCATATCGCCTGTTTTATGGAATTACAGCCCATTTTATTACTGATGATTACAAGTTACAGCCAATCACATTAGATTTTTTACCACCGAATGCGAAGCATACAGGTGTACATATTGCCCAGCTGTTTTTCAAAGTGCTACGTTTCTATAATATTGAAAACAAAATTCAAGGTGTGACAACTGACAACACAGAATCCAATTTTACTTTCACGTCTCATTTAAGCACTCTTATTCCAGGCTTTCACGCAAAAATAATCACTTTTTATGCTTCGCACATATCCTAAACTTAGGAGCTAAAGATCTAATGAAAGAGAACCATAGAATTATCGCTGAATATGCATAAAAAATTAAAGAATTTGATGATTTTCTTATGGATCAATTATCAGATTTTAACCAAATTTATATTGAACCGCCCCTGAGGTGTTTCCTTTCTAACAAAAAAATTATCATTGAAATTTGATAACGCAGTAAAGAATTATCGCTGAACATACATAAAAAAAAATTCGATGAATTTAGAACCTAAATTTTAAAATAAAAAACCGCGTTTGCCACGAATTTTTAATAAAATTTTATAAAAGAAAATCTTATAATTTTAACAAAACATCAAAGTATTGAATCAATGTAATATACTTACATTTTCCAGTTCATAACGAAAAAAAAATCTTCACACTTCAAAATAGCTTAACACCTTCACATTTCAATACGAAAACTAAAGAGTCAATTATTTTATTTACATTAATATGATCTAAATATTTAAAAATTTCGTTTGTAATTATTTAAGAAACTCATAGTTCAAACAAAACCCATGGAATACACACAAAGAAACTTTTCCGTAAAACATGATTCACTACAATATTTTTCAGTGAATCAACAAAGCAGAAAACTAAAAATAACGGTATAAATACCGAAAAACAAATTTGGAAAATTTGGAAGTGCTTTTCAGTGACGAACTTTTCAAGAACCTCGATTTAATATTGTATATTATTGTAATAAGAAAATAACGTTAGCAGGAATGTTGACTAGAAATTTTATCATATACTTCATATCCCACTATCGTTATTACAATTTTCTCCTAGTAATAATAATGTTTATTAGTAAAAAATAGCAATAAACAAATAAATTTTAAATAGTTTTTTTACAATTACCTACCAATAAACTGGTGTATCATAAAGCCGCTGGGCTGTCTGAGTTACAATGTATTAATTATTATTACTGTGTATTGTCTTAATATTATTATAATGCGGGCTATTTTCGATTGGTCCGGTCATACTCTATTTTCTTGCGTCCTTTTTACGGCCTTCACTTTTACGATTACCAAAAATATCCGATGAAAAAAGTCAACCCCGAAACCCCCTCTATAGGGACGCCTATGGTAGCTTAAGGCGGGTTCAGACGCAGCCAGTAGTTTAGTAAAGTTATTTAGTCAAGTGTGTTTTCTGTTCACACGAGTCAAGTAAATAAGTAGAGCAAAGTCGAATAAAAAAAGGGTCTACACAAAGGCAGTGTCTAATCGGCTTTTCTGTGTGGTAGGGGCTGCTACTCGACCAAGAAAATAGAATAGAGTTCTATTTACTAAACTCGACCGTGTACTCGACTGCCAGTAAGCTCGACTAAAACAAAATGTGTTCAAATGGGTCAAGTCACTAAATTACTCGACCACTTGACTAAACTACTGGCTGCGTCTGAACCCGCCTTTACAGTCGGACTGACTCATTCCAGTCATTCTTTTTCAGCAAAACAAAGGATATCGTATAAAACACATTTAACGGCGACCCAGGGACGGACTATTAGCTGTATGTTACGCTTTAAAGAGAAAATGTTATACGTATTTAAATATTATCACATTTTTCGCATAATTTCCTTCTTCGATTAATTAATAAATATCACTAAATTTAGGTTTAAAGGCAACACTTACGAAATTGATCCGAAATAAATATTCACGACTTGCAATAAAAATCGCCATGAAACTATATTTCATTTACTTGAAGTATTTATTACATTGAATATTAAAAATCAATGAAGGATGTTACGAAAAATGCTTGAACAACTGTTATTAATATCCTCTTATTATAAAAAAAATTAAATTACTGTGGAATATATTAGTTTGGCTTTAATTTTTAAAGTGATTGAAGCATCCAAGCCTTCTCAACACGTCAAGGTTAGATTCCTAGAAAAAGAAAATAGGAACAAAACCATGTTCCTTTCCAAAATAACATGGTTATATCAAAACTATATCTTCTCTGGACATGTCATTCAGGTTTACAATGCAAGAATGAGCCGGAAATACATTTTCAATTTTGGTAAGACGGAGAACGCAATTGGAGCATAATTCTTGAGATGAACAAACTACCAACAACTTCTCTGATACCATCTAAAACGGTTTCAGACAACGCAGGATTAATTTTTTTACCTCCATTTTGATATTACTCCAAATTAATTCTATAGCATTTAATGTACGATAATACGGTAATAAATGTATTACGGTCTAAACGAATGCCGTAGCCATGTAAAATTTTCCTCAAAGTTTCTTTACTCATTTGTGGGACCAATTCATGATCGCTAACTGCCTCCAGAACTTTTTGCAAAGTGGGCAGCTCATTTCTGAAAAAGAAACTGTGAATAGTTGTGCGTATACTGTTTTTGGCTTCTTCATCAACTGTGATATTTTTCTTCCGCTACTAGTTTTTGGCGTTTGTACTTCCCCATGAATTTTGTTTTCTCTTAGTATTTTGTAAACTGATGATTTTGTTACACCCGTATAATCAGAGCACATATCAACTAATTTATGTGGAAGTTAATGATGTTGGAACGCCCGGTTGGTTATTCGGAGGTACATCCGTAGAATTACAGCACATATGCACTAAGTTATCTTTTCGTCGCTGATGATCTCTTTCAAGACAGTGAAATACTCGAAGTACAATTTGTTTTTCACTTAGCGACCGAGACTTCGACCGTTTTACCTTTTTCGACGTTGAATGCCCTTCAATGTCTTCCATTTTTTGCATAGTTTTAGAACGGTGTAGAAATATTATTTAATGTTTAAACACTTATTAGCACTAATATTTTCACCAATTGTTCTTACAACACGTCGATTACTTACTAACTTAACTGTAAAACTTACAATTCACACCGTATAATTCAAAACCCGATGTTACGCTCGTGGTTAGAAATACACTACTGAGAACGTCATCGACGAGATGGATTTTACGCGTAACAGACAAAGACACAAATATCGTTCCGTACACCGATGCCATTAGTTGTAACAAATACTGAACAATCCATAAAATAATTAATTTTAAATGATCAAGAAATGTATAAGTATTACTCATTACTGATTTTTGTTATAATTAATATCTTTTATTAGTACTATGATTGTATATTATCTATAATTTGCCACAACTTACAACTCTACTACTTACTCTATTTTGATTCTGCTAAAAACTAGTAAGGTAAAATTGAGATATAACACGGTTCACTCTCAATCATTATTTGTTTGAGTTTAATCTACAACTTGGCTAGGTTTGAGATTCAATATTGCAAGAAAATATTTTTTTAAACTGTAGGTGAATATGATACACCCATTTTGTCCAAAAACGCGGAAACTACCCCTTTTTGAGCTTTCGCTTTTGGAATTTCACTAGTTTGACGAGAGTGGTAAGGAGCATTATCCATTACTATAACAGCATTTGGTGGCAAATTAGGAATTAATTGTTCACCAAACCATTTCTCGAACAAGGTAGATGTCATAATATTGGTGATAATCTGCTGAGTAACTCAAAATATCCTTTGCTAATGATAATAACAAGCAATTCGACATAAAATCATTTTCATTACCGGAATATAATATAATACGAATACGAATATAATATGAATCACCCTGTATAGGTAAACAATAATTTAAACTGCCAAAGCCCACTTTGAACTGTTTAAATTTTACAATTTATGTGAGTATTTAAATATCAATTTAGTTTTTTTGAGGTGTAACTGATCTTATTTATTTAAAAAATAGTCAATAAAAATTATAATTATTTATATGCCTTCAGAGATTACATTATTTTCATCACTTTCAAAGGGCCTCCAAAAAGCCATTTTTTTATAAACCAAAAATCCAAACAGTAATGTGAATTAATCACTGGATAAATAAATATTGTCCATCTCTGCTAAGTCAACATGACGATACCACACGATACCGCATAGAAGCGTGTCAAATAACCAATTAGAACATGAGTTGAACAAAATCACAGAATTACTATTGGATATCCCAGTCCATGTTGACCGGCTTTTCTTACAAGTTATCTTGGGCTACAGCAAATAGAAATTTGAGAAAGGCTCGATTCGACCAATAGGAGACGCTAAAATTAAGGCGTTATAATTAATCGAAACGACAGATTCTCATCGTACAGCGTTGCCAGGCATAAAATATTTATTTGACACTCGGTTCCAGCATATTTGCTCGAAGGGTACTATGCATTTAACATACATCGTTTAGCTGTAATAGAACTGATCGCACCATTTTATTTTTGCAGTTTGACAACTGTGTTTTCTAAGCTGAACGACGGCGGTGTCTTTGTAAATTATATATAGATATATTAATAATATTGATATTTAATTGTAGAATAGTAAAATTTATCTGTGCCGTCTACTATATAAGTAATAATTTTCGATTTATTTTATCTTGTATAGAAACAGACGATATTCAAAAAATTATTATGCTTTTTTGATTTAATTTAATTCACATTGTGCCGCAGGAATGGTTTTGAATTGTTTTTGTAAAATAACTTTAAAACTTATCATTAATAAATAACATTATTATTACTTTATAAAAAAAGCCGACAAGACTGTTACTCATTTCTGGAGTTTAAGGAAATAAAAATGTTGATAATTGTAAAAAATATACGTTACATATCATTAGAAGGTGGATTCATGCACGTAGGCACTTTGAATACCAATTAAACCAACAAAACAATTACTTGCATTGGTATTTTAATACTTTTATTATTAAGATTATTGGTTCCGTTTTTCATTTCGCTGGCAAAGAGTAACTTTTGATATCAGAGTCTGAAATAATGACATAAACATCAGATGTTTACAAGAGTCAGACATAAACTAAAGTTTATTGAGTATTAAGATTAAGTATATTTTTTGTAGTTACATTCACTAGTGAGTGTGTAGATAAATAAATTTACTAAAGTATTGTGAAAAGGAGAATTTTTATAAAACGAATAGACCGGGAGCCAGGGGTACTTTTGACCTCATCATTTCATGCCGACTGATTTTTATATTGGAGACAGATGCCATCCAACAGATGACGAAAACGACCGTCAGCTGGTCCAGTAGCGGTGGGTGTGTGCGTGGGAGGCTACGAAACGTGTCGAAAAAAAAAAATTTATCAACTCATTTTATGCCGACTAAAATTTTATTTGTGTATTGTTGACATTTATTAGGATAAAAAAAAATAGTCAGCTGCGCGGAAGAGGGGGGAAAACACGTCAACTGAATGGGTGAACTTGTAAAAAAAAATGAGAAGGTAAAACAATTTTATGCCGATTGAAATTTTTTTACATGACTTTGAACACGTATGAAAATATAATAATGATGGTCAGCTGCGTTTATAGTGGTGGAAAGACCGTCAGCCGGAGCAAAATATATAATTGCGTTCATATATTTCGCGCGGCGAGCAGAATTTTCAATGCTTGGACTGACGGCTTTTCCCCCAACGGACAATCAGCTGACGATTATTTTTTCATTATTAATTATTAATATTATAAATTTGCAAAATTTCAAACGGTCTTTCATCAATTTACCGAAAGTATGCTTTTATAATATACACTATACAACACTATATACTATAAGTGTATGGTATATATTTCGTCCGACGAGATCTAATGGATATTTTATACCTACAGCCAGCTGTAGTCCCCCCACTCTGTACTTGTGCCCCTCTTCTCTAGAAAAGGGCAGCTGCTTTTCGGCTTTGTTCATTCACCATCAACGGTACAACAGTTTATACCTGATATTCTTACAAAGTGGACGTGAGGAATATTACGAAAATACCATGGCGTCAATTCAACCATTTTGCGTGTTTTGTAATAAAAAAACCGAAAAACTGAATATTTTAACTGCTGAGAGATTGCAGAAGTGTAAAATTATTTTAGAAATTCGTAAAGCGAATAATTTGGCAATGAGTGATGCGAAAGTGCCGCCTAAGATGACTGATTTTCATCAATATCATTCTATGTGCTACCGAACATTTACTGCACTACCACCGAAATATCGGAAATGTATAGAATCTACGTCCATTTCTGCAACAGCTAAGTAAGTAAATTTATATTAGTTATTACATACATAAATAAATACTATGTTCATATTATAACGCATTCAATACTTTGGATTTCGGCATTCTTTGCTCTCTCGAATAAATATATTTAAAATGTACTATTTTACCTAACGTTGAACGGTTACAAGGCCCTTTGCCCTCCGGCTAAATATAGAATTAGAGTCTATATTATAGAATGTATATAGTGTAGTAAAGATAGAAGGAGACAGAAAGAGAGAAATTCATACGGAGAGGCAGGTATTGGTCCCTCGGCCTTTTTTTTTTTTTTCATTCAGAGTTCAACTTTGGAAGAGTGATGAAAATTATCAAAAATTATATGATAGTAAAAATTCTATTAAATTATAAAAATTATATTAAATATTAATAAAAATTGTATTGTTTTAGTATAACTGAAGAGGCGGGAACAAGTGAATGTAGTGCTGAAGCTATAAGTGATGCTCACGAAGAAGTTCATGAAGTAGACATGGAAGAAACTGAGGCATCATCAAGTCAACAGGATCCTGATTCTGTCGAGAAGTCGAGCGATTATACGTGCATATTTTGCCAAAAAAAACGTAAAAAATACAATGGCCGCGAGCAACAGCTGCAGACATGTCTTACTGCGGACGGCGTTGATAATTTACTTATTATTGCTAATGAAATAGGAGACGAACAATTGGCCAATAGAATCACGAAATTTAGCACGAGAAATGAATTGATCCTTTACCACAAAATCTGCAAGTTAAATTTTACAAATACCCAGCAGGCGCAAAAAAAATCGAATATGGAAAAAACCGAATGGCATGTGACTCGAGACATATATAAATCAGCCTTCGAAGAAGTGTGCAGTTTTATTTGCGAGAATATTATAAAAAAAAATGTTACTTTTTGAGTTTTTTAGAATCACTTTTTGCCACTTCTATTATCAATCTTGATCCCACTAAATCATTACAAGTAGATTCATATAGATTTGAAAATAGATTACTGAAGAAATATGGTAAAGAAATCAGCATAGTTACGATGAATGGTAAAAAAATTGTGAAAACTTACAGCGGAGTGCTCATCAAAACTGATTTGGATATCTTGGAAGAAGAAGATATTTTGAATCGTGCTGTATTAATTTTGAGAAAATACATACGAAATATAAAGCCGAAACGATTGCCGGAGGACTTAACAACTGATATTTTGATAAACGGAGAATGCGACATTCCACAGGAACTCATCAGTTTTTATAGTAAAATTATATCGTCAAAATATCCTGCAAAAATAAGTAAAAATGTTGCAAGAACAGCTAAATCTTTTTCCGAAGATTTGATCTACGCTGCCACTAATGGAAACATCAAAACGTCAAAACACATTACTCTCGGAATGGCAATAAAGAGTTTAACAAATAGTAAAAAAATTGTTAATATTCTTCATAAATATGGGCATTGCTGCAGCTACAGTACTTTGGAGGGATTGGAGACGGAAGCAACATTTTCCGCTACTCGTCGATCGGTACTTTGCCCCGAAGATATAATTCCAGAGAATAATTTATGCACGGGATTAGCGTTCAATAATTTTGATCGCTTTGTGGATACTTGTACTGGAAAGGATACATTACATGACACTGTAGGAATAATGTTCCAAAATATCGTCGACAGTTCACCGAGTGTTCCAACACCTATTGAGAATTTACTTCAGAATGAACCATCGACAAGTGCAAGAAGAAGACGACGAACATTCGATGAGGTAACATTTGAATTGCAGCCGTACAATAAAAAACCGAAGATACGGGAAACTTTGACACCTGGTGACGATTCACTTATTTCATATGATGTTGATATCAAACAATTACATTTGATTGATGTTGCTTGGACAATGTCTCATTTTTTGAAGCTACCGAATATACCAGCTTGGGTTGGGTATAACAGCATGATTTATCAGGACAATAGCGTCAAGCAAAAAATATCTTACCTTACGACGATAAATGCATCTCCAACAAATATATCAGTGGTATTAGAGACAATGAGACAAGCTCAACAAATAGCTGAAGAATGTCAAGAAGAGTTCATGGAGGTCACTTACGATTTAGCTATTGCGAAAGTAGCTCTCCAAATACAAAGCACAGAGAAACCGAAATTTAACAACTTGTTCGTGCACCTTGGATCCTTTCATGTCATGATGGCATATTTTAAAGCAGTTGGAAAGTTAATTGACAACTGTGGAATAACAAACATCATGGAAAATGCGGATATATTGGCAAGTGGATCAATCTCTTCTTTTATAACTGCAAAACATTTCAATAGATGCAAGCGTCTTCATCCGCTTTTATATTTGGCTCTTGACAATTTACATTTTGAAAGTTTTGTTGAACAATGCAATGTTGAATTGCCTAATGAGATCAAAGATTATTTACTGAAATTTAGCACTGAGCAATCTACCAATCCAACAATTACCGATGATGAGTTGATAAGCCTCTTTGATAGATATGAGCAATATAAAAAACAAACACTAAATGGTGAACATGGGAAAACGCCACAGTTTTATATGATATACATGAATCTGATCAGTCATTACTTCATGTTATGTCGAAGTATCCGCACAGGGAATATCGAACTATTCAAATATATATTACCTAAAATTAGCAATCTCTTCTTCACATTTAACCAGCCAAATTATGCACGTTATACCGTAATGTATCACGACAAATTAATGAAAGTACATGAAACTCATCCTGGATTATATTTACGGTTACAAAGGGGATCATTCGGAGTTAAACGGACTGACAAACAATTTTCTCGACAACCCGTAGATCTTACACTGGAACAGACCATCAATGCCGATGCGGCAAACAAATTGACAGGAATTAGTCATACCACCAATTCAATAAAGGCTCGCCAGCGCTGGTGTAAAAGCCATAGTATTCGTTCTAAAATTATTGCTCATATCATGGAAGAAAGTGGATTGCGCCCTGATCAAGATATTACAGCTGATCTTGAGCAAAGTCGAATAAAAAAACATTCGTTACAGCTGGAACAATGTCTTAATCACATTAAACAGAATATGAATCCATTCGCAAAAGATGTAGACAAAGATTTATTATACAATATTTCTACAGGGCAGGCGGTTACACCAGAAATCGAAGACTTTTTACTGAATGTGGAGACAATTGGTAATGAACAACGTGAACAATTTATTAGAGAATGTTCAACAGATGAAGAACGATTTGAAAAAGTCATCAAGAGAAATAAAATTCAAAATTTCGCTACTGTTGCACCGAAACAAAAAATTTCAATTGCTGGAAAAAGGATTGCAATACAAATGCAACGCGATTTATTTGGTCAATTATTCTCTCTGTCTTTAGAACAAACGTTAAATATCGACAAGGTTTTAGCATATCCTCTAACTCCAGTCCCACTGGCTTTGTGCCATATCGATGGGACGATCTGCAAAACAGATAAATCGGTATTGTTAAAAGTGCTTCAGAAGGAGATTGATAGTAACCCACCAGAAAGGTGCGATGTGATTATTTATGATGGATTTTTCAACATACATTCGATAAAAGACGTGCCGTCCTCATTTGGAAATGTATCGAAAAAGCTGATGCAAGTATTCACTAACAATAATGCCGACACTGTAATAATTGCCTTCGATAGATACGTATTTCCATCTATAAAAGATAATGAACACTCATTAAGAAGCAGAGTCCAAGGGCAGCGTTTCCAAATAAATGGACCCGATCAAGTGCGCCCATCAAATTTCTCGGATGCATTGAAAAATATTTACTTCAAAGAAGCACTCATTGACTTTTTAATTGAAGATTGGGCAAATGATCACATGGCACCATATATCGGGAATAAGATCATTTTTGTCAATTATTTGGAATGTCATAAATATGAAGTACATCAAGGCAAAGTGCAAAGAACATCAGAACCATTGTTGGCATGTCCAGGTCACGAAGAAGCTGATACAAAAATTATTTTCCATGTTTGTCAGTTGACTTCAGATGCTCATGTTACGATACGGTGTTCAGACACAGATATTTTGATTATTATGTTAGGAAACATGAAATACATCAAAAGCAATTTAAATATCTCGATGCATGTTGGGACCGGAAACAATCAGAAATTTATCAATGTCACCAAGTTGTATGACACATTGGGTCCCAATTTGAGCTCTGCATTGCCAGGATTTCATGCCTTCACGGGCTGCGATTTTAATTCAGCGTTCTACCGCAAAGGCAAAAAAAAACCATTGCAAATTCTGCGAAACTCTCCAAAATACATACAGGCATTAACTGACATTTCAAATATTCCCAATTGTAATCTTGATGAATTGCTTGTCACACTGGAAGGCTATGTTTGCCGATTATATGCACTGACAGCAGTTGAAGATATCAATGTTGCTCGTGTTGTTACATTCACAAAAGCATATGGTACCCACGATGACTCGAATCCGCTAAATCTGGAAACACGAATTGATGGTGCATTGTTTCCGCCCTGTAAAATTGAGCTGCAGCAGCATATTCTACGTACGGCATACATCGCTCACCTTTGGAGCCATGCTCATCTCCCCGTGCCAACCGAGCTATCACCTACTGAGTATGGATGGGAAGAAAGCAATAAGAAATATTTATTCAAATGGTTCGTGGGCGATCAATTGCCACCAACCATCACTAGCATCTCTAATCTCGACACAAACGCTTCTGGTATAAACAAATTCATTCTTTCTTTTTCTTTTTTATGAATATATTAACCTACATGATTTCCTTAATTCATTTGTATTTTTACAGACGACATCGAAACTGAAGAAGATGGAGTGTATAATTTATCTATCGATAACTCCGATAATGACAGTGACCAAAATAGTGATGATGACAATTAAGAAAAACATTTGTTCCATTTTATGCATTTCGACATTTGTATTTTAATTACGCAAATAATAAATTAGTTTAAATAATGTGATGTAATAAATCCGAATTTTGTGCATTAATATGGAGCATGATATAATTTTCCCGCTTTACTTGAACATATCTTTGGTAAATTGATGGAAGACCGTTTGAAATTTTGTAATTTTATAATATTAATAATTGAAAATGAAAAAATAATCGTCAGCTGATTGTCCGTTGGGGGAAAAGCCGTCAGTCGAAGCATTGAAAATTCTACGCGCCGCGCGAGATATATGAACGCAATGATACATTTTGCTGCGGCTGACGGTCTTTCCACCACTATAAACGCAGCTGATCATCATTATTATATTTTCATACATGTTGAAAGTAATGTAAAAAAATTTCAATCGGCATAAAATTGTTTTACCTTCTCTTTTTTTTTACAAGTTCGCCCGTTCAGCTGACATGTTTTCCCCCCTCTACCGCGCAGCTGACTATTTTTTTTTTATCCTAATAAATGTCAACAATACACGGATAAAATTTCAGCCGGCATAAAATGAGCTGATAAAAATTTTTTTTCGACACGTTTCGTAGCCTCCCACGCTCGTACCCACCGCGAGTGCGCCAGCTGACATTCACTTTCGTTGTCTATGAAAGCTAAATCACAAGTATTGTGAATAATTTAACGGCATAAAAACGCAGTTCAAAATCGACCCCTGGCTCCCGGTCTAGAAGTTATTATTCGTTTATCCAAGATTTGTCCAACAAAAATTTGCATATGTTCACCCTTCTAAATAAGCAGCAATTGCTGGGAAAATTCTTTTTTTTATTTTTCAAAAATGTTTATTCGGAATAAAACTTTTTATATTGCTCTGACGTCTCATATTATACGAAGCTACTTAGAAGGTAAAAATGTGCTTTTTCAAAATTAAAAATTTCCGAAATCTATTTCTTAAGACAATCTAATTATAGATGTTTAAGGCGGCCTCAAAAATACAAGTACCACAAAGAAGTTCCATTTGTTGCAAATTTTGTATCAACCTCAACCTAAATTGTTTACATGTGAGTAATTAAAAAAATCTTAAATTAATGTCATGAAATTCCTAATCCGACTCTGTCTAAGTGCGACCTTCAGCTGGCCCCGATTCACGTTCGAGGCGACGGAATGTTCTGGGAATGCCGCTGAGGCTCGAGAAACGGGTAGAACGGGCGAAGTATGCCGTTGAGTCAGAGATGGAATTTTCGGGAGCGTCTAGAGACTTCCCGTAGCAGAGTTGGACTTGGTATAAATAGCCCTATTCATCGGCGGACACTTTAGTTTAGTCTAGAGTATTGGAATGAAAAGTTAAAGTGTAATAAATAAATTAGAATTGTGAGTTAGTGTCTAAGTATTATATAAATTAAATAGTACGTTATAAATAAATTGTAAATAAGGTTTTAAATAAATAAACTATAAATAAATTAGACTATCGTCACAATAAAAATCAATTATATCGTGTGTTCTATATAAAAATAAAGAAATTTTACTATATTTTTAATTTTTAGGACCAACAAGTGATGTTAGAACACAGGTTATTCCAAATATAAATTTCAGGGTTTGAGATAAAAATGTATTCTTAGCAAGAAGAGCAAGGTCTATTACAATAATTCAACACTATAATATCTCACAATATTTATTTTTCTATTTATTTTAATAATAAATTACAAATTAGTAAAAAAAATCTTTAAAGTAATTTATCTAAAAATGGCTGATTTGGAGATGTTGCGCTTTTGAACTGGGACAACGATATTCCTAGTATATGCTAAATTTAAATACTTAGCATATACTTAGAACGTACTATCAAATGAAAGTAGGTACTTATTGCATACTGTACACATACTTGAAGTACATTCTCAGTATCTGCATAGTATATATAAACAACGTCCCGTAACATATACTTAGTATATTCTGAGAATGTACTAAATATATTCTTAGTAGGTATATGCATATCTTAAAAGGTATATACTAAGAATATGCTAAGAATGTATAATTGTTATCTGAGAAAGAAACGTTTCTGGAATCATTTCTCATAAGAACATTCTAAAAACATTGTAATTATGTATAGGTTATATATTTAAGACTAATGTTCTATAAAAAAAAGGAATGTATATGTGCGGTAATAATGAAGCATATTATATGAGTATTCAATTAGCGAAGTGTAAATAAGGGCACTTTACTCTTAAGTGCATTTTATTTAGTTTAGTATTTGATCAATGTCCAGAAAAAGAGAGTTTAAAATATTTACTGTTACAGGGTGATTCACGAATAAATCACACTATATTTTTGCAACTTTATTGTGCCGTGTATAAAAACTTGTCACAAATATCGGAAAATAATGTATATACACTGATATATTTTGTAGGTAATTATAAGTTAGATTACCCTGTATATTTTAAAATCTAATGTAACGTTATTAACTTACTCAAAAGTCACTAAAAAAAATGTAAGGTCTCTTTTTAATAATTTCAAAACATTATTATATTTTGTGGTTAGCTGGATGGCTCACCCTATATAAAAAGTACACATAGCTAAATCTTTTGACCTCAAAATTGTGAACGGTTAGATATTAATTCAATGAAATAATTTCTCTGTGGCGCAACTGTAGAAATATTGAGTGTTTTGCAAAAAATATATTGTGATTTACTCGTGAATCACCCTGTAACAAATATTTTAAACGGAATGGACATCTCACCAAAACTTATATATCATCGCCTTAATAAGCAAAATGCCATGTCCGTTTTGAAGAATTTTACAGGAGAGAAGAAAAACGTTATTTTTTAAAAAATACATTATTACAGTTTTTCTTTACATCTAACACATATAACTTTGAATGTAACACAAAAAAAATCATTCCCACACATTCCTCTTTTAAATAAAAGTGTGCAGCTATTTAGGAAAATTTCTTTTTGGCAATTGGCAAATCGGAAATCGGCAAATTTCTATTAGGCATTCCAACGACCTGTCCAAATGGCTACCAGTGGGTAATGACAGTTTAGATATGGCAACCCTGTTGTCAAGTTGTCATTAACAGGGTCAATGATACATATATAGTTATATAGATTGCTCAAAGTTGGTCGTTTACGAGCGGCCATATTGCCTGGAAAATATTTATTAATTTGAATCGGTTTAGCAAAAATGTGTTTTAAAACCAATTATTAGCCTTTAGATATTTAAAAAAAATAATTGCTTACATTTTTACTTCAAGGCATAAGCTTATGTTTATTTTGAAAAATATGGATGATCAATCTATGTAACTATCTATTTCATTGACTTTGTCAAATCACCAGGCCTACAGGGTTGCCATAATTTTGCCATATCATAACCCGTCAAAACCCACTGGTAGCCATTCAGTTTGAAATGCCTAATTATTTCAATTTAAAATTAACTGGTTGTTCTTCTTCTTCTTTTCTTTTAATGGGCTGTGCCCATAAGACAATTTACCCAGCTAAAACTGGTTAAGTTGACACTACAAAGTTTTGTCAAAAGTGGCTTAACAGTTATTCTAATAGATGGTACTTATCTAATCCCCAAAAAATAGAAATACAGTCTAACTCGTAATTTGGAAAATATAAATTCCGAAAAACTCGGCAATTTTCAACTGTAACGTATATCGTACAAATACGATAATTATCGTATTCTGGCAACACTGCTCTCATCATTCATAATTTATTCCATCCAAACAGTGAGAGAGTGCTTTCCTACTCTCCTACTCACATATATAGCAGAAGTAAAAGTTTGAAAGACTTTTGCCAGTTCTCCCACTTTATACACATAAATTGATAGGTTTGCGGCGGATCTCACCGAAGTGGACGCGATACATTGGCGTACAAAATTATTTTATAGATGTTAATAACAATTTCGAGTAAATAGTTTAATAAATTGTGAATAGCTGTTGAAATTTTGTAAAATTATGATTTGAATATTATAATACATGTTTAATAATTATTTATAGTCCATAAATACATGCGATTGTCCGGTTTCGCCGATAATAATTTAAAATTACTTATTCTATGAAACGACACTGGCAGGGTAAACATTACTGCGAAATTCTCGAAGCCGTCGACGTGGTTTGACGTTTACCCCCTCTCTACCTACCAAAAGCCCTTCCAACTTTTACTTTCGCTATACAAGAATAGGCCTCCTGCGCGGGGAGGTAAAAAAGTTCGCTTACATCTATGGAACCGTCTTCAAAATTAATTTAAAAGTTGCACATATTCATTTTTATTTGTTTTAAAGGTGATTTTGTTCTTTCTGTTTTTACTAACTTTTGCAAAGTATACCTTTTTGTGACTAGAATGCTTATACCAAATTTTTTTTTTTAGGAGATGCTAATAATACAATAAATGGAATTGCAAATCAAAAAGAAAGAGAAAAATCAATCCAGTTATGGATAAAGAGGAGTGATCAAATGCAGTACAAAGAAAATAATAAATTTTAGTGACCTATGATTAATATAATAGATATTTTATCAACAAATATTTTTAATTCTATTTTTTGCATTGTTTATAAACTATAAGGTTATTCTGCTAATTTTAATAACCAAGATATTTGCACAGTAATACCCATTTTTAAATTATTTTATATTATTATAATAATAATTAATAATAATAATAATAATTAATAATAATAATAATAATAATAATAATAATAATAATAATAATATTTATTGATGCCAGGAACAATATTATACAGAAAAAAATACATATAAAATTGTATGGTATTAGTCAGAAGCCAGGATAATCTGTACTAGTTTGATGATCTACAAAGTGCACATTCAGTTGACTTAAAAATGAATTTACTGATGCATTTGCTAAGAAATGTGGGGAAACCCAGCAAAACCCATATTACCATTGAAAACTAGTATAGATTTCTGTTGATTTCACAAAATATTTACAAATAATAATTACTTACAATCACTTCATTTACATTATCTAAGCTGTAAGGCTAAAAATAGAA